TATATATACATATACATATAATTCCATGGCCTTCTCACTGTATAGTTTCTGCTGAGAAATCATAGCTTAATTTTATTAGTTTCCTTTTGTAGGTAACTTTTCATTTTTTTCCTGTGCTACTTTCAGGATTTTTTCTCTGTCTTTGGTTTTGGTGCTTTTGATGATGATATGGCTTGGTGATTTCCTTTTGTGGTCTATTCTGTTTGGAGTCTGTTCAACATCTGGAATGGATATAGTCTCATCTTTCTTCATATAGAGAAATTCTCTTCCAACAAGTCTTCAACAGTTTTCTCTGGTTTTAATCTGTCTCTTCCTATTCTGGAATTCCAATAACATGTATGTTATTCTTCTTGATGGTATCCCACATGCATCTTAGTCTTTCTTCATTATATTTTGATCTTTTGTATGATTGATCCCTTAACAAAGTAGTATCGAGGTATTTATCTTCAGTCTCATTAATTATATCTTCCATTGATTCAGTTCTAATCCTTTGCTTATTCAGTGCATTATCTATTTCTGAAATCTTAGTAATAATCTCCTGGATTTCTGTTTGTTGTTTTTGTATCATTTCTATTTTTTTGTTTATTTTGTTTGTTCTTATATTGTATTCTTAAACTATGCTAGAGTTTTATCTGTATTTTCTTTCTTTCTTTTTTTTTTTTTTTAGTGATTTCCTTGATCCATTTCTCAATCCACTGAAGGAACCCAGTACAATTTTTTTGAATTCCTTATTAGGGCATTCCAATGCTGCTTCTTCTTTGGGGATTTTTCTGGATTTTTATCCTAGTCCTTTGTTTCTACTACTTTATCTTGCATTTTTGCGAGGACTGTGATGGTTTTTTGTCTCCAAGACATTGTGGTAGTGTTGTATTTATATTTAATTTGTAGTTGTTGAGCTCTGGTGGTGTAGTGCCTAAGGCATTTGTCTACTAACCAGAATGGTGATGGTTCAAAACCACCAGCCACTTCTTGGAAGGAAGATTGGGTAATCTACTTCCATAGTGATAGCACCTTGGTAACCCAAGGAGGAATCACTATGAGGTGGATCCAACTCAACAGCAGTGAGTTGGTTTTTATTTAGATTGGTGTGATCCATGGACTTTTTCATGTTCCCTTTTATTTTGTTTTGATATATCTGTGTGAGCAGGATACTGTGCCCTTCTGTTCATTGGTTGTTAGCACTTAGGCATTCACTACTTGTCTCTTGGTGAGTATGATAGATAATGGGAATGTGTGTACAGTTCTCTGTTAACTATTTGTTAAGAGCTGTTGTGGCTGAGTTGAGCTGGTATTGGCCACTATCTATCATCCGTCAGTTGGGGCAAAAGCAAGTGGCGAGTTTCACTCAGTGGGTGAGGCTGCAGGAGGTGCAGGTATAGTTGTGTTCTGTGGGAACAGTTGCTGTCTCCCACTCAGTTAGTCCCCCCCCCAAAAAAAAAAAACTGAAACCATATAAACAAACAGCAACAATCTCACACATGCACAAAAGAACTGCAATAAATAAGAAGGAAACTTTTCAAAATATATCTAAAAGGATAAAAGAAAGATAATAAGAAAAAGAGAAAGAAAAAAGAAGAAGAAGAAGAAGCTACAGTATCTGAAGACAGATGAATAAGAGGAAAGAGCCAGGGTAAAATAATAGGGAAACCTGCAAATGGAAAAACAAGGAATGGAAGAACAAAAAAATAGAAAAATAAGAGAATCAGGAAAAGGAAGTGAATAAAGCAAACAAAACAAAAAAGGAGAGAGATTAAAAATAATAAAACAAAACAGGGGAGGGGCACAGCATCTAGGCTTTGCCAGGGTACAGATTAGGATGGAACCCCCCACAGC